CTTATATAATGTAAAAAAATTTTTCTTGACAATAAGTGACTAGAAATATTTCATTACCATATATCTAGAAATAGATTTATGCATTTAAGAGCAAAGGCAGAAAAGCAAAAATAATTATTACATCGATGATAAGCACCAAGACATAATTTTTGCACTTAGGGCCTGATTGGTTGCATTTAAACATAACCTTTATCAATAATAAAATCAAAATACCTTATTTGGGTAGAGGGAATACTAAAAATATAGATGTCTAAAAACAACGAAGAATGCCCAATTTCAAAATTAAGTAAAACAACAAAATCAATCATACATTTCAAAATTAATGACATTTATAAAATATATTCATATTTTACTTTTCTCCCTCTTTAGTTCACTATATACAATTATGATTGCACCATTTTTGTTAATCTGTTGTTGCACTAAACAAATACATAAATATATTGAATTATATGAATTCACTATAACAAATCCAAACCAATAGAGCTAGATCCAATAGCTCAAACAACTTTACTTGCATTTCATTCTAACTGGTAAAACAGATTACTATTTATGTTTGTAATTTTAAAAAACCTGAGCCAGATGAGGTACCATTTGTGTGTTTGTGTGTGTAAGACAGCCAGTGATACCCAGAGAGTGGTGTGTTGTAGACAGCTTCTCTACACAACTTACAATATGAAAGGCAAACAAGAAGCTTACACAATGGCCCAACTATGACTTGGGTGGGCAGACTCTGAAATACCGCCAAACAAAGTTAAGGCTATGTCATGGAGGGTAGTTAGGATATCTGTCACCAAAGTAAAGAATCAGTGACAGGTGTGACAAATGAAAGCTAAAGCAAAATGCCATGGCCACAACATTCGTGCTGACGCTAGAAGACATGAAGCGTTGACAGTCATCTCTCAGTACGAATCATGGATTGTTGGAGCTACACTTGAAGAGATTCCCTGGAACGTCCCCAAAGGACAATGTAGCAGCCTATGGTGGTGGCCCTCCACCTCACTCAGGAACTCTAAAGTGTGAACCTGGGTGTTCACCATACCTTAGTCCCAATGGTTCTCTCAATCCAGGTACTGTCTATATTATACAATTACGCATGCTACCCTTCTAGAGGCCAGAACAAAACTAAAATTCATCACTACACCTCTATTTCCAACTCGGGAGTCTCTAAAAGGGAGTCTTTTCTGTCCTTGGGTTCCCTGAGTTTGAGGAAATGCTAACATACTGTATGTTGTATAGCTGTAATATATGAAGCCCACTTTAAAATTCAAGCAATCTGAATTCACTATTAGTTCACTTTTGCTGTCTCTGAAATACTTTTTACTGAAACAGCTTCTCTACACAGCTTATAATATGAAAGGCAAAGAACAAAAGAAAAACGTTGCTGGCTTATGATAGATTTGTAAAAGTTCAATGGTGAAACTCTTTTAAGAAGAAAACAGGAAACATTATTTTTCCACTTTCTATCTTCTATTTTATTTTATTATATTACTATTTTCTACTTTCCAATTTTCTCATTCTCCACCCACACAGCAATCTTAGAGACTGCCTGGGATGTCTACCTCCCAAATGTGTAATTCTATCTCTGGGCATGTCTATACAGCTCTTAATTCAGGTTCAAAGTCCACAGCATTTTTTAAACAAATGACATAGTTTCATTCTCTAAATGCCAGCCATGAAATCATCTCTTTAAAACAAGAAATAAGTCATATTATGCATACATAAATCAAATAAAATTCTCTCCTCTTAAACAATACTTTATTTGGTCTGTTGAAAGGAGAAGTCTGAAGCCACATTATACAATCTAATATGCTATCCTAATCTCGTATAACTGCTTCTTCATAAAGACCCCAAAATGGGAACATTAGACACAGAGAAAAACCTCAGTTACAACTCCAGGAGTTTTAGTCACATCAGAGTAATTCCCTAACCTATCCAAATACGCAGCTTCTCTTTTTCTTCCCCCATGAGCCGAAATCCCTTCTTTGAAAATGGTTAGATTTAAGAATCAAGTTAAAATCCACCAAATTTCAAATTCTAAACAACATGATTTTAAATTCACACTGGCATTCATTTTTCTGAGTTTGCCTATACTTATACTAAATAGATTTCTTGGATTATAATGTTTAGGAAGATAATAAAAGTTTTATATTACACAGCAAAATTCCCATAAATTCTCAGTTTGTAAGGGCTTATCTCTTAGTTGAATACCATACAGCCTCTATCTGATGCAAGTATATAGATAAAAAGTATTCTAGATACAAAATCCTTAGCTCTGTGTCATAAATAAATTTGGATAAAATCGCAAGCCTTCCACTGAGTCGTCTCGGCAAAGATGACCCATCTTCTCAGCAAGAAGCAATCTAGGAACAAAGGGGGGTAAAAAAAACATAACAATTATTTGTCCAGTCAGAAATATAAACCTAAGTGGCAATAAAGCACAAGGTCCTAGTTACCTTTCTTTGGCAAGAAGGACAGACATTCCCACAAGCTTGGCAAATTCTTCTGATGTTAAGGATCCCTTTTCTGAAACCTAATAGGACAAACAGCAGAAAAATAGGATAATTTAGGATAGATATGTGGATACTACCTTTGGGAATGTCTACCAGTATACTTAGGAAATTATTTTCTGTTGTTTCTACTGAAATCTAAATATTCACTATAGAGCTCAATCTTCTTCACTAATGTTTTGTTGTTAAGTGCCATCGAGTCGTTTCCGACCCATAGCGACCCTGTACAGGGTTTCTGAGGCTATAAATCTTTACGGGAGCAGAATGCCTCATCTTTCTCCCGCAGAACAGCTGGTAGTTTCGAACTGCTGGCCTTAAGGTTCGCAGCCCGATTCGTAACCACTACGCTACCAGAGCTCCTTCACTAATGTTTAATTCTATAAAATTCCTTCACTAATGTTTAATTCTATAAAATTTGAAAGACTCAGAAGAAAGATTACTGTATTTTTTCTAAGCATAGTAAAACATCAAGATAAAATCCACTATACACAAGTTGCCATCGAGTCAATTCCAAGTCATTGAGACCCTGTAAGACAGAGTAGTACTGCCCCAGTGGGTTTCCAAGGCTGTGACTCCTCACAGAAGCTCACAAGCAGACTGTAACGTCTTTCTCCCATGGAGAGCTGCTGGGCTCCAACCACCATGCTTTCAGGTAGCAGTCAAGCGCTTTAACCACACATCACCAGAACTCCTAACATGCACTATACTCGAGTTTGAAACAGAGCCCTGGTAGCACAATTGTTAAGCGCTTGGCTGCTACCTAAAAGGTCAGTGATTTGACCACCAGCGGCTCCCTGAGGAAAAAGAACTGGTGATCTGCTCCTGTAGGCATTACACCCTAAGAAGCCCTACAGAGAAACCCTACTCTGTCACGTGTGGTTGCTATGCATCACAAATCAATGTACAAATTCATCTTAAAAAGAACTATCCTATAGCTGAAAAGGAACACATAATAAATTCCAATCAAGGGCATATAATATGCTCCAGTGAAGGATTAGCTTAAATTAAGCAGTCAAAATAGCTAAAATCCTTCGGTGTTAATCTAGCTTAAGATAAAATGTAGTAGACTTCTTGTTGTAATAAGTACTGCCAAGTCGGTTCTGACTCATAGTGACCCTATATAGAGTTTCTAAGGCTGGAAATCTGTGCAGAAAAAGAAAGCCTCATCTTTCTCACAAGGAGCAGTGAAACCGCCGACCTTGTAGTTCACAGTCCAGTGCTTATCCTAGAGCTCTACCATGCTCCCAGAAGTATAATAAATGTGAATTATTCAAATGACACAGGCTCACCATAGAGACTATGAAGGCAATAATATTTCTAGTATCCTAAGGAGCATTAAGGAGCTCTGGTAGCGTAGTGGTTACGAATCAGGCTGAGAACCGCAAGGTCAGCAGTTTGAAACTACCAGCTGTTCCGTGGGAGAAAGAGGAGGCTTTCTGCTCCCATAAAGATTTACAGCCTCGGAAACCCTGTACAGGGCCACTATGAGTCAGAACCGACTCCACGGCACATAACAACAACAAACGAGCATTATCGGAAGTCTGGTTAAGTTTTATAAACAATTATTTCATAAAACACCTGGTGATGCTTTATAATGTTTATGTAATGTTAGTGAAAGAGAAAGTTCAATTATGTGTAATATCGAGTCAAAAACCTGTTTTCAACGTTAAGCTTCATGAAATTTAACTAATTCTAATTCTCCTTATTTATCACATTATAAGATGCTCTGGTGTGGTAATGTAGGATAAGGACTGGACTACTAACCACAATGGCAGTGGGTTAAACCCACCAGCCACTCCTTGGAAACTTTATGCAGAGTCACTAAGAGTCAGACCCAACTTCACAGCACTTACCAACAACAAATAACATTAAAGAGGATGGCGCAGGACCAGACAATGTTTCATTCTATTTTATTCAAGGAGAGTCAGAGCCAAGTTTAGGGCTACTAATAACAGGAGTGTCAATAAGTGCAAGTTTCAAAAGAGCTTCTTTCCTACCCTCTGGAAGTATGGATTTACTTGTTTGTGTGTATAGATATATATATGGGGGGGAAGGGGGGGCGGGAGCGACCCTGTATAGGGTTTCCAAGGCTGTAAACCTTTACAGAAACAGAAAGCCCTATCTTTCTCCTGTGGAGTGACTGGTAGATTTGAACTGCTGACCTTGCAGTTAGCAGCCCAGCTCTTCATCTACTACGCTACCAGAGATTAAGATACACACACATACATGTATATTCTGGAGAGGGCAGGAGTAAGAAGTTAAGGTTAGGGTCGCTGCTACTGTTGTGCAGTATCAAGTCAGTTCTGACTCATAGCGACCCTGTATAGGGTTTCCGAGAGCTGCTAGTGTGTTTGAACCGCCGACCTTGCAGTTAACAATCCAGTGCTTATACTATAGTACCACACCAGGGCTTGAGTTAGGATTAAGGTCGTGGCTAGGTCTAAACCAGACCTAGGGTTATGGTTAGTGCCAGGGTTAGGGGCTGGA